CTCAGAAATTCAGAAATTCAAAAACTCAAAAATTCAAAAATTCAGAAATTCAGAAATTCAGAAATTCAGAAACTCAGAAATTCAAAAATTCAAAAATTCAAAAATTCAAAAATTCAAAAATTCAGAAATTCAGAAATTCAGAAATTCAAAAACTCAGAAATTCAGAAACTCAGAAATTCAGAAATTCAAAAATTCACAAATTCACAAATTCGAGATTTCAAGAATTCAAAAATTCAAAAAAAATCCCAAAAAAATAATTTATAACACTTTAAAAATTACATATCACATACATACAATTTTACACGTTTTTTTCAAATTATCACATATCAGAAAACCTGTAATAGAAGGGCACCCTACTTTTGATTTTTGAGACGATATATCTCCTTTCCTGTAAGAGGTATCAAAAATTGGTTAACTGATGAAATGGTTATCATGATATCAGAATTTTATCAGTCACCCTTTTTTGATATCTTTTATAGGAACCGAGATAAAGTAACGCAAAGTTGAAAGTTAGGAGGCCCTCCTAATACAGGTTTTACACTAATTCAAATATGTTAAAAGCAAGATTGACCGTTCAATGAGATATTTCGATAAGCTCCACAACATTGGAAATGTGTAGAATGAGAATTTGAAGAAGTAGACGTCATATTTTGACCGAATTCAGAAGACGTGAACCACGTGGTGAAGCATGAGCGAGTTGGTGGATTTTCAGAGAAGAAAATTGAGTAGATTGAGTGATATGTGGAATGGAACATCACATAGAAGCCGAGCGCTGAAAAAAATCTTCATTTTTAGGCTCTTCTGTGTGTCTTTTTGTCCAGATGTCCATTTTCACTTGCTATGTTACTCAAGACGCATTGAATTGCCTTCCCCTCTTTCTCTGTCTGCTCCCTCTCCCGGCGCGCCACGCCTCACTCATATGTACGCCCTCCCCTACTATTCTCTCGTTCTCCCATGTGGTCTAGTGGTTAGGATTCGTGGTTTTCACCCACGCGGCCCGGGTTCGATTCCCGGCATGGGAAGTTTCTTTTTTTTTCTTTTTAATAAAGTGTGAGATGCTTTTTGGGTTACAAGGGGGCTTTTCTTTAATTTTTTGTTATTGTTTAGGTCTTTTATACTCACCATAAATGAAGATATCCAGGGCGAGACGAGGCTTGGGGTGGTATTTCCAGATTCTGAAAGAGGGATATTAATTGATTTGTGATTTTTTAGGTCAATTGAAAGCCTATTTTTTTAGCCTTCTCACCTTTCTAGAAAAGTTTCAAAAGTAACTTCTTAAAGGAGCCGAGACAGCAAAAATTTCGGGGGACAGTTCGGGGGACGAAATCGCGCCGCGCTTATGTAGACCATCGGTCGTCAGGCGCCTTCACGCCCCCGTAGCTCAGCCGGTAGCGGCGCTGTACCCCTGAGCTGCCTGTCATGAGTTCAACCCCTCATGGGGGTTCTCTATGCAAAATATCAGGAAAACTTTTTTTTTGGTGTCTGGCCTCCTTTAAAGTCTTAACGTAATAAAAAAGTCATCAACCTTGACTTTTTTGCTATTTTTTTCCTGAATTTTGAAACAGTAAAATTTTGAAATTTCTGATTGAGATAATTGAGCTCAAAGTGCAAATACAGGACGTACTTTACGGTTTCACTTTGAGCTCAATTATCTCGGTTTCTACAGAAGATATCAACTGTCCACTGATAAAATGTTTCTGATATTATCACAAACATTTTATCAGTTGACAAAATTTAGGTATCTCTTATAGGAGCCGAGATAATTGAGCTCAAAGAAAATGATCCAAGGAAATAGCTTAAAATAGTCTGAAATTCTGAAAATCAGAGCCCCATCAACACAAAACCGGAATTTTCCGACTTGTGAGATTGTGAACTTATAAATGAGCCTAAGCACGCTGCAAATCTGTCTAATTTGACTTTTCACAAAAAACACGCGACGCACGACCGCGCCGCACCCAACATTTTGATCCCCACCGAAGGATAGCGTGTTTCGGCTCATTTTGAAGCTCTCAATGTGCTGAATTCCAATGCTGACATTAAAAATCGAAAATTGCAGTTTCTAAGCTTCAAAATGAGCTCAAAAACGTCTATTTTTGCTCAAATTTTTTTTTGAAATTTTTCAATTTTTTACTGTTTCAAAAAATTTGTATTATTTGACATTTTGTTAAGTTTTATTGAATTTTTGATGTTCTAAGATTTTTCAATGTTCTCATTTCTTTCAGAACCACTTACGCTGTCCACCCAAACTCCTCCTTTGATCCATCATCCTCCAATTTTTGTTTCACTTCCAAAAACATTGCAAACAATGGCGGAAATATAAGAACCAAAAGTGGAAGTGTAGACCCTCCAACCAAATTGACGACTACACCAAAGTTTGGAACAGTTGCCGCACTAAAGATGATAATCCAGAAAGCAATGGTACGAATCACAAATCGACCAATTCCGAATTCTGGAAAAATATTCAATCGAAACACATAATGCAAAATTTCGGGAAATTGTTGACACAGAAAAGTTATTGAATATGTATTTTGAAGAAAATGAACATTTTTTAAATCTTTTAAGCAGGAATAATGTATTAAATTAGAGCGGAACGATGGTGTTGATTGTTTTCGAGCTTCAATTTCTAGTTCCCAAAGTAGTGTACCAGGACGGATGTTTTTTGTTGGATAGCTGTGTTCAGTATCTATTAGATCGTAGATTTTCAAATTTTTATCTCACTCCATGTTGAAGCAATGACAATTCTCTTGGTCCATATCCGACTGCACATACGTCACATTATTATATTTTCATTTTTATTTGCTCTTCAAACACCTGGTATCCGAAAGAAATTTGTGCATGTACATATAAAGGACATGTTGCTTCATCGCCTGCAATTGACGTTTGGTTCGAAAAATTCCGCGCAGGAGAGTTCAGTTTGAAAGATGGAAATGGCCGAGTGAGTTGGATCTCGATCAATTGCTAAAAGTAGTAAAGGGGGTTCCAATCCAATCCACTCGTGAAATGGTAAAGGCGTTGTCAGTTAATCAGTCAAATATTGTGAACGGATTGAAGACTTTTGGCAATGTCAAAAACTGGGTACCCAACGTTGTAAACCACTATGATATGGATCGCCATGTAGACATGAGCATGTTTCTCCTATCATTTCTTTGCACGTTCAGTTGTATGGGGGATCTAATTACTGTAGATAAAATGTGGGTAAGTTACTCTAACAATATGCGGAAGGGTCAGTTGATTGACAAAGAAAAGCTAGCTCTGGGCGTCCCGAAACCTAAATTTCCCGTAAAAAAGGGGATGCTATGTATTTCGTGGTCTTCCAATGGAATGGAGACTGGGAACTTTTAAATGAATGTACCATTATCATTGCCATTTTGTATTGTTCCTAATTATAGAGACTGAATTCAGCATTCGAATCGAAACAAGGTGAAAAAACCAAAGTTTCCCTTCAGGACGACAGTGAGAGATCCCCCGTTACTAGAGGGATCAGCCAAAATTTCATGTCGTTTGTCTGGACTACTTTTTTGCTTTCACCGTATTTTCCGGAATTCGTCCTTTTGGATAAATGTTGTTTAGGGATTTTTAACGTCATCTTGATAGAAAATACTTCAATTGAAAAGATGACACAAAAAAGGAATTGCTTTACTTTTCCAACCGCAGCCGTCCTCGTTCTGGGCCGATGGAATCAAGAAATTTCCGTGGCCAGACAACTATCGATGCTCATGGACGTTACTTTCATTGATCACATACTTGCGGACGGGCCCAAAGCGGGCCGTGCCGGGACCTGTCATAGTTTCTTTTAGGATTGATATTTTTTGACCAACTAAATTAGATATGGTAGAACTCGACGAGCGATACAAAATGATATTGTTTGGGACACTGTTTCATGTTTGTGAACAAATGTACAGACCAAACGGGCCGAAAAAA